AACAAAAGATAGAACAGGAAAACTAATGCATGACTTCTCTTTTTTTTCTAAACTTCTAATAAAGTTTTATTTTAAAATAAAATGGCAACAAAACTACAACAAATAGTTGCTGTTCAGCCCTTTATGATTGATTATTGGGATGGGGGAGGGGAATGAATGTTTTGCCTAGCTGCCTCAGGTAAAAGTACTGTCTCCTTCAAGTCAAGCTCAATTCTTAGGGATTTCATGGCCACAGCCCTGCAGTTTCCGGGTCAACAGTGTGACAGGGGTTGCCATTGTGTTTTTGCTGGATGCTTTCCTGATTTCTTGTCTCACCTACAACTCTGCATGCCCTGATAGTTTCCCATTCAGGCTCAAGCCAGCCAGATAAGGTCAGCCGGGTTCTGCCAGGACAAGCCCTTAGTTAACCCTCCTCGCATTACTTAACTCTCATCCATGCGCTGTGCGTCTGCATCTGTTGGTATGCAGTATAAAATAACATTCTGCTAGAAATGGACTCCTGTCCTTTTGGTTTACATCTGCATGGCTTTTCATCTCATTTCACAAACTGATACATAGGAGACACAACAGCAGAGAAAAACATCCACCAGGCACAGTTAAAGAAATCCTGTGAATCCTGTTTGTCTGTGGCTCTATTATCTTTTTCTCTGTCTAAAAGGAGAAAGGGCTTGCCCTGTGTTCCCTGAATCTTCCAGAAAGCATGGCAAAAATCAGATTCATCTCTAGAAGCCCATGTCTATCTACTTCTCTCCCCTGTTTATGTTGCTGTCTGTGTAAAAAAGGTGCAAGCCTGGAAAGATGCATTTATGTGCACTTATTTAAGGTGCATTTATGCCTTTTTTGTCCATTATATGCAAGAGGGGAAAAACTTATGATTCCAAGGGATAGTATGTATGCATTGTCCAAAACTATCTACAAACAAAAAGTCCAGGAACTAAATTTATTACTTTTATTTTGTGGGTTGACGCAACCCCCCCACCCCATACATATGAAAGTGATATGAAAAAGGAAGTAATTAAGAATATGAAGGTTGCCTTGCTGGATGAGAGCAACAAAATGGTTCTGTTTCAAAGCAGGTTTGCTGTCTGTTTCTACAAAATTCGCATGCAAAGCATAAAACAATAAGCTTCTGCTGTTTGTCCCACCTCAGGACAAATCAGATCAAGCTGCATAATGCCTAAGGTTGATCCTGTTATTTTGGCCCTTCAAGCAGAAAATTATCTAAACACTTTCCCCCTTCCTGAGGAATGGATTTGGAACAATAATAGAGATACATGAGAATTTGCTGCTTTCCATGACAAACACCCACAATCAGCTACTTAAGGTAGTCTCCTCACTTCCAATTGGTTTGTTTATTTATTTATTTAACCAATTCATATGGCTGCTCATTCAACGAGTGACTCTGGGCAGCAATAGAATAAAAATAACAAACATAAAAATTAAAAATACAGGCAGCCGAGAAACAACAACTCTAACAATAGGGTTAGATCTTTCCCAGAAAAGAGGTTTTAGCAAGTTTTATAAAAATGGGGATGCTGTATGTAGGTAGAATATTTAGTTGTGTAAAATAAAAATCCATTTGGTGGAAGTGCTGCCCAAGAGCAGCCTGGAATAAATGCAGGATTTAGAAATGTACACTGAGTTTCAGTAACACAAAGTATAACCATCTGTACTCATCTTTTTTTGTTCCATAGCCAGTTTTGCTCTGTGCACCCATTTGTATTTTTCCCTGCTGTGCTGTTCTACATTTAGCATTGAAGCTTCCCAGCTATTAGCATGCTGTTCCTTTCCCAATATTCACCTTGTACCGTGGCCACTTTCTACTGCTCCTGCTCTGGTGTTCTTAACAACAGGGCGATATACAGACATGGAGGAAGTGAAGCTTCTCTTGACGTGGAGATGAAGTAACATTAAAAAAAAAATCTAATTTTTTGCTTTTTGTTAGCATAAAAGACAGCATGATTTTATAGAAAATGCCAAAGGCCTGAAACCTTCATATACCTAGATTATATTCCTTACAAGGACTGGTGATTCATTCACAGGTCTGGGTCGCCAATAGCAAATTATAATTGGCGCTCAATTCATTCTTATCTGTACAGGCTGGTGACATTGAAGTAATTGAGAATGGTATGAGGGCTCTCCAGAATGACATTATATCATGGTATCTTAATAGACCTTAATAGATATGCCAGCACTGGATCACTTGTTTTCTTTAGGGAAAAAAATGAATAAAAAGGCAGGCAGGCAGGCTATATAACTTTACAACTGGAGAAAAATTGTAATATTGAGATTTATTGGTGTTTATTCTTTTAAAGAAATATATGATGCTATATGTTGGATTTTATTATTAATGACAAGTAAAGCCATTTAGATACTAATGTTAGGAGCTCAAGACCTATGCAGTAGATGTCTTGCAATGTAGTGGCAACCAAAATCGATGCTAATTGGAAACATCTATATAAACATCTAAAATGGGAGAAGAAGGGGAACGCTTGATCAGTTGTAATCCTATACTCATATGAATGCAGGTAGCTTTGAATTTAGTGGTTACTTACTTCTGAATAAGATGTGTTGCACAATACTGTGACTTAGAAGATTAAATTATAATTAGTGACTTGGCAACTTTAGAAGTGCACCAGAGCATCATTGCACATGCGGAGCGTTCTCCAGCAGGGATTGTTTTAAATTTCCTTTTAAAAAGTTTTTTTTTTCCCTGTGCCCTGACAATAGCCAGTACACATCTGACAGTGGAGATGAATCAGTAATTTGTAACAAAGTACATTATTTATTGGTGTCTTTCAGGCTGCATCAAAGTTATAAAAATGTCAGTGGAACTTTGTGGCAGCAGTTGTATAATCTTTATTCTTCTTTAATTTTTGCATATGCTACTTGCATCTGCTTCTTTCACTAATCGGTAAGGTTGGTATCATTTAAAAAGAAATATCTTTTATGAGGCCCTCTCAGCGAGTAAAAATAATGAAGTGGCAGTGTTAGTTATCACATCTTTCTGAAGCAATCACGTGCAGTGATGAAGTTATGTTAAATGAAACTAATGGCAATTGTTCTTGCACTCCTAATGAATGTTTACTCCATTCTCCATTACAGTCCCAAAACAATACAAAAAATGAGGAGCCAAAACAGGGACCTTTTGTGAAATCTTCCACATTAACATAAACACATGTTTGGGGTGAATAGTGAGTTGGATTATTTGTCTCATGGAATATGGATTTCTTGGAATAGAGGTAGCCCAGGTTTACTTGGTAATACATAGTAGTCACGTTCTCTGGGTTTAGGAGATCAATACTGATGTATTGATCAGGTTCTTGCAGATGTTTTGCCCTGCATCTCAGCAAGGCTTCCTTAGCACAGTGGGCATGGCAAAATATGCGATAACTATAAAATGATTCAGGAGCGTTTTGGAAAATTAGAAAAAAATGTAACTTTGTAAAAAATGAGCTTGAGCTCTACGTACCACAATAGCTAAAATGGGATAGAAGGAAACATTGGAAAATCCTGGAGATACATTAATAAGAAAATATAAACAGTAACTACATATTAGTTTGTTATATCTGCTTATCAGACTCATCTTAGAATGACTTTATGGACATAAAGAAAGGTCTTAAGGTTTCCTACAAACATAACATAGAAAGGCCATACTCTTTTTCCTACTACCACTACTACTATTACTACTACTACTTCTTCCTGTTACTACTACAATTTTCATGTTCAGTTTGTCCTACTCTTCTCTTATATAATTTCGTGAATATTACCACCTCATCAGGGTGTTATATCTAACATTAACATAGATAATGTTTCTATTCTGGACACTATGACTTTATCAGATGAATGTCAAATTCTGTAGAACTGTTTTTTCAAGGGATATTTCCTTCTTCTTCTTAAGCAAAATTTTCCACAGCACTGATGAATTTTGTACTGAAATCATGGCAAAATTTAATTCAGCTTAATTCAAAGTCTGCCAGACGTTTTACTAAATTACTAAACTAATTCTCAAAGTTTGAGTCTTTGAGAATTTGAAACTACCATGTTTAGGGAGCAAAAATTAACTTTTTTTTTTTTCAATCTTCTTGAAAAATATTTAAGTTATTCTTAGATCTTGGTATGGAGAAATATACATTTCACTTCTTTCACAAAAGAGTTAAAGTATATAATATCACATTTTAACGTTTTAAATACAAGGTTGAAATTTAAATTAAATTAAAAAATAAAAATCCATAATATTGTGGAATCTTGTTTCTTATTGGTATTATCTGAAAAACAGATACACAGAATATAGGAGTGCACTAAATATTTTGGAGAATCTTTCTGGACTATAATGAACATATGTGTGTACAGAGGAACTGAATTGCTAATCTGCTGCAGTGCAATGTGAAATAACTCCATAAAACAGAAGGAATTTCCTTTTTCAGTTTCCTTATTATTGAGAATGTGTAGGTTGTTCCATGCACATCTCAGAACTCCTAACAGATGAAATGGAAATTCTGTAAATCTCTCAGATGGTGTTCTTCCTTAGCCAGTTCATAAATGCAATAAAAAAGCAACATATTTTTCTGAGGTAATTTTTCTGTGCGTGTACTTTACATGTTACAACCTGTTAGCCATCAGCACTCCTTCACAACCAAATGTATTGTGAAATATCTCCCAGGAGACCACAGCTACCAATGAAGTAGTTAACTCTCAGTTGCTTCTTTACATCATCTTTGAAAGATTCCAGAGATCACAGAAGACTGAGTTTCCTGAATCTATCCAAAAAGCAAGCTGTGGAAAGGTGTATATGTTTCAAATAAGATTTTTTTTCAAAGCTTATTTGAGGATTATTCAGTGTGAATTTCTGCTAATTTGTTTTGCAGTCGGCATCACTTTGAATAACTGCTGTCATGTTAAAATGCTGGTTTCTCTTCCTGAATTCTGGAAGTATTTTCTCTGAATATTAACTAGTAGAGTTTTGTGATTTGTACTTTATTTTTGTTGTGTGTTGGTAGAATACCTATACTAATGCAGACAAGCTACTGGAAGCTGCAGAGCAACTGGCTCAGACTGGGGAGTGTGATCCTGAAGAGATCTACAAAGCAGCACGGCATCTGGAAGTGCGGATTCAGGACTTTGTTAGAAGAGTAGAGCAGAGGAAGCTTCTTTTGGACATGTCTGTCTCCTTCCACACTCATACCAAAGAGGTAAGATGCCTGCAATGTAATAGACCTTCTAATACTGTTGGACCGATGTTTCAAGCGTGCAACACAGCAGGGAATGTTCATTCAGGCATATTAGACTATGAACTCAGATTATATGAAATGAAAACTTAGAAGACCTGCCAAATTATATAAATGTTGCAACTCTCCCTATTGGAGTTGCAGCATAACTATAGAAATGTGAAATCGATATAAATTTGGTCTGTTTGCCTATCTATCTGAAACTCCATAACAGAATAGCAAGGTGCAGGTTAATACAATTTGATTACTAATACTTAGTGTTAATGTACAGTTTATGTGTAATGGAGTAGATGCTTAATCTGTATTTTGTAACTGGAGTATCAACACATAAGTTTCTTCTCGGAATTTTTTTTTTTTCACGTAGAAAGAGATAAATGAGATCTTTTCATTTTCCTGCTGCCTTTACATCCACCCTCTATGTCCTTCATTGATCTGGAGAATCTGCCAATCCTCTGAAGGAGCATAAGGGTCTGCAAGAGTAATTGATACACTTTTATTGTATGAATGAAATGGTCCATGGCATATGGAAGCTCATCCAAATGAAGAAAGAAGATCTACATTATGGTTTGAGCTCTTTAAAAGACAGCAATCGAAATGCCACTATTGTTTCTTAAATTTCTTAAGTAATTTAATTTTACTGAAGCATCTCTTTGCTTTAGTACTATTTCTAACATGAATCAGCTGATGATGATAGTTTTGATTCCATTCTATTCAAAGTGGGTTCTGCATACATGCCCTCTTTTGATTTTCAGTGGCTTCCTCAGGACTAGACTAAATGCTGCTTTAATTCAAGTGAACAATGTACAAAATGTACAAAAATAGGACACTTCTTCAGCAGACTCAGAGGTCAGGACATTGAAACTGAAGGGCCTGCGGGTATAACTAGAACATACTTTACATTTTTCCATCTTCAAACTAAAGGCTTCATAGTGTGCTTTCAGAAAGTAAATTTAAAAGTAGGATTATGTACTATAAGCAAGTAATGTGTAAAAATGATGAAAAACTTTACTGCAATCATTAACCTGCACAAGGAAAATCAATATGCGAGTATCCAAAGCTGAATTGACAATATCAAAATAGTTAGGTGAAATACATAGAAAGAATTTTGGCTAAAAACAATAACAAAAACAGAGAATGCTAAGATGCTTGTTCCAGCTACCCGTGTGTGACAGAAGAGAAAGGATTAAGTTTAATCATCAGAGTAGTATAAGCTTTAAAATGGTAGCATAAAATTCAAGTAAATATCAATTAGTAAAGCAATAAAATCATCCAGAAGGGAATTGGGGATTATAAACTTCACTTACTGTCCGTTGTCAAACCTGAGAAGAATATAGTATAGTAACTGATATGGGGTTAAATAATCAAGATTTAATGCTAAGACTGGACCATGTGTGTAAAAATTAATTTGCAGCTGCGTTAGCTTGTATATTTGGTGACAGTTAAGCTAGTGGAAGGCAACTGGTTCTTTCCTTTTAGTATATCAGTGGCATAATCAGCTTTTAGCTATGGACAATGTGTTTTTCTTTCATGATTCAAGTATCTCATTGATATGGGCTGGTTTCACACGTCACACTTAGTTATATTTTTCAACCATGGTTTGTTGAATGTCACAACTGGCTGGCTTTATGCATTTTGCTTAATCCAGAACCGAGCAAACCGCATAATGACAGATCATGATGTGTCAAACACAGAGACCCAGATTGGCTTGTTGCAAGTTTCAGCTGCAAGCCTCCCTTTGAGCTATCAGCTATTCATAACCAAGACCCATTATTACACTGGAACTGTGTTTACATTGAATTGTGCCCTGTGGCACTATTTTCCTCCTCCTAGCTAGTCTGAATAAACAGTTCAATACTGAGGTAACAGAGAAGCTGATTAGTTTGGATGAATTTTTATTTTGTTAGAAAAGAGGGAGGAAAACATCAAAAGTTTTCAAAGACTGGCCCTGAGTGATTTTTTGGTTATTGTTGTTACGTTGCATGGAGCAAGAGTCAGCAGAAGTCACATAAAGAGTCCTGTGGCATGTCTGACTCTTGATAATATGCAAGAGAGAGAAAACATGTACATGCTGGACAATCTACATTCCTTGACTAAAGGTTTGAGGAATGCTTTTAGGCAGAGGAAATAGTGGGAACTTCATGGTTCTTTCAGATAGCCTAATAAGACTTGTTTTTGGGGCAGGACACTGCATCTCTTACAGCCTCAAATTCAGCTATCAATTATCTCTGTTCAAAATTGAATTTTTTTTTTTTTTTACTTTTCCCTAGTAGCATAGAATTTAGGTTGTACATAGCAATTCCTGCTTTTAATTTTAGAGAAAATTAAAGAGATTCATAATGACAGCGTAATTAAAAGGGCATTTTGCCAGGCATTCTAAAAAGTCACAATTTCACAGTATGTGACTTTTTCATAACATTATTTAATATTATGAGATGTATAAAATGTGAATTTACTACATCCATTTTCTTGGATCTTTGCATGTTCATTGATGGAAAACATAACTATTTTAAGCACATGTGCCTTTAAGTACTATTTTTCCTTGAAAGTCAGTAAATATAGCAATGAATGCATAAACAGAGAGGAGAGGAAATAAAACTACATAGTCAATAGCCAGGAACTAATGTCTTCTTAAAGCAGTAAGTCATAGTAAGATTGTATATGGGTTGAGGAACTATAGGTTGACAGTTTTTATTATTGCTCTTTAAAGGGGTATGCAATTTCCTGAGTACTCTTAAGATTAAAAAAAAAAGGCAAATGATTATTAACCTGATATCCTGACTGCTTAGAATTAATGGCTCAATCTGGAACATATTGATATTCAACATCACTGTTAAAAATGTCAGACCAAATGCACTTCATCATTTAGCTTTCTTAAGGGCACTGGGCTTCTGTAGCAAGGTATAACTGAAGTCATTCAGATAGTCTAGGATCAGAGTAATGCTCCATAATGCAAAACAATATTGGTGTTGTTACCATAACATATCAGACATTTGTTGCATTCACTTCAGCAGTGATTTCCAAACAGTCTTAATTGCTATGCTGCCAATATTTGGTTTGGGGAAACTAATGCATAAATGACATTATATGCAAATGCATTTAATAAAGCCATGGAAACTTGCTTTGTAAATTCAGGCTTGGAAGGAAGAAACTGTTTAACGTTTTCCTTGGCACTTATTTTATAAAGACAGCAAACATTTATTTCACTAAGGACTATGGCATTTTGGGCTAAAAAGCTGCTAGCAGACACCCTGCCATTCCCCATCATCTGCCATTTTTGCTTTGTTGCATACTTTTGTATATAACCAAGTTTGTCCCTTTGTCTATTCTGCTGCAACACATTTTCCCCAGTTAAGCAAATCAGCACAAGATCTTGTATTCAAGTTTACATCAATAGTGACAGCCATTGATGCAATCTGAAAATCAGAAGCAATCCAATATACTTTGTCTGAAAGAGTTATCTCCTTCACCCAAAGGCTTGAACAGCTCCATAGATACCTCTGTGAGCGTACTGGATTTAGCTTGGGGAAATGGATCACAGACTCTCGGTTTCTGCAATATTTATAACAGGCAGGTGTCAGGTAACATCACATCACTTTAAAGCTGGGATATGAAAACTCCAATTTGCAGATCTGATCTGACCTGCCAAGCTGAACTATCTAGACTGGAGAGCTAAACATAGACTCATAGGACTGGAAGGGGTAATTTAGACCATCAAGCCCAACCACCTGCTCAATTCAAAGTGAAGTATCTCAGACATATGGCTGTCTTCCCTCCACTTGAATTATTCCAACAAAGGGAACTGACCTTCACTCAACGTGATCCCCTCCACCCTACCATCTTCAGCATTCCAACATCTTCATTCTGTATTATTAACTGGGAGACTAGAAGATGAAAATATGAAAATATGACATATACAATATATGGGCCCTGAATGATTATGACTAAACTGAAATTCTATTACTGAATCCTGACTGGAAGCCATTGCCTTCAAGATCTATTTTGCAAATACTATCTTAGTGCCTGTCAGGGTACCCAAAGACAACAGAATTAGATAGTCATTGCATTTCATCAGTGATGCTTCCTGATTGATAGTTCCTGGTACAGCAAAGAAAAGACATTGTGTCACTATTCTCTCTTTCCCTCCTTAGCATGTTTTCTTTCCCTCCTAGAAAGGAAGACAATAGAAGTGATGGGGAATATTGAAGAATGACAAGAAATCCCCGATGGGAGATGTATCTTCTATCATTCTGTGAATAAGGCAGGGAACAAAAAAGTCTTGTCTGGGAAGATTGCGCCAAAAGTTTCTATAGAAGCCAATGTGAGAATAGATACATTTGTCTTATACTTGAACAGACTGTATAAACAGGATCCTTTTATCAATAGAAATAATGGTTCTGCCCCCCCCCCCAATAATGACCTGTAAACTGAGAAAATCATCTTTTATTCAGCTGAGGATACAAAAGGCCATAAAAACGAGCAAAGGGGCAGGTGACTCAGAGGGGCTGCTTGCCTGTTGAATTTAACCCTTTTTGTACTGCCTTAATAGGGCTTTTATTTCCTTTCTCTGTCCAAGTACCTCTTCCTCTTGTGCTATTTCTATCTTGTTCCCCCCTACCCCCTGTCTATTTTGTTGTTTCCCCTGAAGGAAACAGAGAAGGAAGTGTATGTCTATATTCTTGTGTGTATTTTTGTGTGAGAGAGGATTTCACGTGTGAGAGAATAGTTGGTATATGTAGATGGTTGATCAAGTGAATTTTACAACAATGTATCATTCTGTAATTCTATAAAATTATAGTGTTCATTTTATTTTACATTCAGTTTAATCTGTAATAATTAATTCAATTAATATTAATTTATTTTTCTCTTCTACCCTTTATTGGAATGTGGCTTCTGGCAGGGATTCATGCATACATACATACAGGTTGTGCTGATTAACAACTGCAATGAAGATTGATCTGATCTTACATATTTATGCATGCGTATGTCATGTGCACAGATTTATTGGGGCAGGGATATCTCAGAAGTGATTTCCTCTGGAGTTTACATTGCTCTATTGGCAAGTTTTCTGGCCAACAGGCTGCAGGACTTCAGAAAAACAATCCTACAGAGTCAGAAAAGGAGTCCTGAAGAGATGCTGGAGCCAAAGAATTCTTCAAGCCAGTTTGGGATTCTCAAAGTGAGAAATTGCAAATACAAGAGAGATCAGGCTGGAAGAACTATGGTGGCGTAAGCGAAGGTTGATATAGCCCAGAAAACAGTAAATGGTTATAGGCTGCAAATATGGAGGTACAAGAATGAACATTGTCTCCAGCAGCTGTCTCAGCCTTTAGACTACCTTATAAAGCTCCCCTCAGCTGGTTTCTCCCAGGCTCTGTTGTCTCCCATGATGGTTCTGATTCCAAGGAAGCTACTTCTTATACAACCTTCCCCTTGGTATTTCTCTTCTGTTTAGCCTGCTTTTCCTCCCCTTGGCAGTAATGGCCCTGCACATGGCTCAGAGGCTGGGGGCGAGAGATTTTATTTATTTATTTGTTTGTTTGTTTATTATTAAATTTGTATGCTGCCCATCTCCCCCCAACGGATTGGAGTTGCTTCAGAGTCCACAGCAACCAGGCTGCTCCATCCTCTCCATTGCCATCTCTTCTTCCAAGGAATAGCCTAGAGGAGGCAGGATTTGAGGTGGGGGAGGCTGGGCAGTTCACAGAACTTTTTCTGGCTTTATACATCTTTTTCCTGTATACTTGTCCTTTTTTTGTGGAGGCTACCTACATAACCATCTTTTGGGTAAAGATGGCACGTACCCATCCTTGTCTTAGCATTTTTATCACCTTTTGTAATTATAGAATTGTGGTATATCTTTCTTTTCCTCTTCTGTACTCTTTCTCTTTAATTGAAAAGAAATAAAAAAGACAATCCATTATGTGCGCATTATATAATTATTTCAGGGCAATTTTTCATGTTTTATTTTACTTACTATCACAATTGCTTAAGTGCTTTACTGTCAGATACGCTGCACTTTGTGAGAGACTGATTGATACTCTTTGAACTGATTTGAAAGGGTTAAGATCAATACCTTTCCCACCCTTTCCTTTCACTGTTCTTCACTCCCCCTTTTGCACCTTCTAATATCTTTGGCTTTTTCTTTCTTCCCCTCTTTCATAGCTGTGGACATGGATGGAAGACCTGCAGAAGGAGCTCTTGGAAGATGTCTGTGCTGACTCTGTGGATGCTGTTCAGGAACTCATAAAGCAGTTCCAGCAGCAGCAAACAGCTACTCTCGATGCTACTCTTAATGTCATCAAAGAAGGTGAAGATCTAATCCAGCAGCTCAGGTGAGTTCCATGGGCACAGCAGGACACATCTTAGAATTCCATGTGGAAATTATTGCTTCCCACTTACTATATTTAGAACCATTCATGGATCATATTGTTATTTGTTTTGCCATACCTTACATGTTTTATTATACTGGGAAGCTGCCTAGATTCGCCTGGCGGAAGTGGCACAAAAGTACCTGTAATCATTAAATAACTTTTAAATGCATCATTTCACTGAAACTCTAAGAAATAATTTGTAGAGACTAATAAAAATAGTGTCAGATGACTTGGACCATTGCTGCAATGGATGAGGAAAGCTGTAGGTGTACTAAACTGACTATGATTAAATGGTACTGCATAAATATGTTTAAAATGGATATTTAGGGAACATTATTAAACTCTTACAAATGGAGGCCTTGTGGTTTATATATTTATTCCTGCTAAGCAGTGTCTGGAACCCACTAAATAAAACATATGCCTTTATGTATCATTAACTACCATTTTTATCACCTGTAGGAACTTTCAGTTTAGCGGGATCCCTGGTAGCATGTTACAGCTTTCAAGCTTCCACATGATACCTACCATTTCCACTTGCATTGACTTATGCACGTGCAGTTTACAGATTGTCCCTAAAAAGTGACCGCATGGAATAGATAGGCTTCCTCAAAACAACTGCAGCCTGGTTGAGATATTGAAGTCCCAAGGTTGCTGATTCTCTACAGGCTTTATTCAGCTGGGTTTAATAGCCTTTAATTAAAAGTCCTCTGTAAACTATTTATTTCTTAAAAAAAAAAAAAGTGATCACCCTCTTTGTCATTTGGTGGGAGAATCCATTAAGATGAATCATATTCACTATTATAAAAAAACATCTGTTTTAAAAAAATATTTGTATTCATACTGTATCTTCCAGCCTTAGACAATTATTACACTTGAGTACCATTGCATTTTTAGGTGAGTAAGCACTACAGTAGAAGTGATGTAGGAGATATAAGATTGGAATTACTGTGCTGTTAAAAAGTTAGACAGCTCTGATTTCCCTCACATAGTACTGGCAACTATGGACAGGGGGGCAGGGGGAGGGAGATTTTCAGTGAGAAAGCAGAACACAGCAAAGGGTTAAGCCCTCCAGATCATACTCCTGATCTGAATATTTTTTCTCCACCATGGTTGGGTTTGTTTGTTTTTGTTGTTTTTTTCATGCAGAAGATGTATTTATGAAGGACACAAAAACTTTTTTCAGTTGGCGCATTGTACATTCAGGTATAATCTGCTAAAGGCTATATGCTGATAGTCGGCAAAACAGAAATCAGTGAAAGGAGAAGTTGAGCCACAAGAAAGTGAGGCAATCCTCTTTTCCTTTTCTCTGGATCAGACCCATATCTCTTTCACACTCAGCATGCTTTTAGAGGCTACCTCTTGCCAGAGGTATAAATTGATTGTTTTCAGAGGACTTTTGAACTTAGATCATAAGCATCATATACTCAACATTCTGCTTGTCGACTTCTGTATTAATAAATCTCATCGTAACTCATTGTACCCTGTTTAGGCATTTGGCTGATGAAGAAGTGAAGGCCCTTTCAGTTTTTCACCAATTTATAAAATAGAGAACATTTTATGTTTTCTCATTGCCTTTGCCAACACTGGGTTTTTAACCATTTGTTTTGACTTTACCACAGAGATTCAGCTGTCTCTAACAATAAAACACCACATAATAGTTCCATCAGCCACATTGAATCTGTCCTCCAACAGCTTGATGAAGCTCAGGTACAGATGGAAGAGCTCTTCCATGAGAGAAAAATTAAGCTGGATATCTTTCTTCAGCTCCGGATTTTTGAACAGTACACCATTGAGGTAAGAATTGCATTGGCCATTCTGAAATGGAAGAGACCCATAGGGAATGGTTTTGCTGCTTCTGTGACACTGTTACTTTTATTGCAAATTTGATTATATAGTTTTTATAATGTTCTAAGCCCTGTAGGGATTTTTAGATTTAAAACTAGGATCAAAATGTTTTAAATTAACAATTTAATTGATTAATTCAATGTTTTAATTGAATAATTTAAAACACTGGCACACTCTGAAAAGGCAGCTATTTTCATTTTTTTTTCTAATCAAGTGCTTTTGGAAAACAAACAGAATAAGCTTAAGGAAGCTTAAGCAATCTCTTGGGTAGTTAATTTGTTCTAATTTGGGTATATTTAAAAATCTTTAATTTGGAGATTTCTTTTAATCATTCACAGTTTTCAGTCGAAGATGATATTCTACGTTTTTACTGTAATGATCCTATCTCTTTACTTTACAAACAACACATAATTTAAGTGCTTCTCAATTTCACTGTAGCTTATGCAATGGTAATTTTAAAAATTCTGGAATGTGATTAGGTTTATTCTTTTCTGTTGTTGCATTCTCTATTTTAGATTTTTTTTCCCCCTAGTAACCTTAATTTTAATGATTTTGCATGCTTATTCTATATTGCTTCTTTTTTACTTTGAAGGTGACAGCTGAATTAGATGCCTGGAATGAGGATTTGCTACGCCAAATGAATGATTTCAACACCGAGGATCTAACTTTGGCTGAACAACGTCTGCAGCGGCATACAGAGAGGAAGCTGGCTATGAACAATATGACCTTTGAGGTCATTCAGCAAGGACAAGATTTGCACCAGTACATCATGGAAGTGCAAGCTTCAGGTAAGTCGAAGAGGCACATCTGCCTTCACAGAAATGTAATATGACCAGAGATGACTGCCAGGAATAAATACAAAGGAAATTAAATCAAAAGTCATTTGACTTCTCCCTACTGCAATAAAAACATTCCTACGTCCAGATAGAAACTTACTTAACCTCCCAGGGTTCAAAAAAGGAAGTAAACCCTAAAAGACAAAAGAAGTTACAAAAGACAAGTAGTAAAAAATGTCCACCCCAGACTGGATAACTGATAGCTTAAACAGGATGGAAAAGGAATCAGAGCCCCATCAAACATTTTTTCATTTCCATTTTGAATCCTATTCTTCTCTGAAATCTGGATTAAGGTGTTTTATCTACTAGAGACAATCTCAGGGTATTAAAATTACCAAGAAGAATGAGGTGAACCCGTGTTCTGCAATGCCATCAATCAACGTAAGTAAAAACTAGTCCTGTCAGAGTACAGTACACAAAATACTAAAGGTGGAGCAAAAGGCAAATTATTTCTGTTTCTTCATTAAGGATTTTGTCTTGCTTTTCACCTGATTTGGCCTGAAATTTCTGTGCAAATGTTATATGGTCTATGTATCATCTTAGTCAACTATTTTTAGATCACAGTAGATATAGGGAAAAGCTCCTGCGTATCAAGGGGTTCTTTCTTCATCAAGAATTTATCTTACTACTTAAAATACAAGCAAATTTAGGACTGAGGCAATGACCATCCTGGGATATGTGGTCTCGTAAACAGCTGTATAGAAAAATCACATAAAAGTGAAAGCAGTTTGTTCTTCTTGGCCGAAACAAAACAATTTCTTCATTTCCAAATAAGGCAGAATGGTTCTTGAACTTCATGTTCAGAGCCTGGTAACCCCTTTGGAGAGAGAGATTCTTTGTAAATGCCAGACATGGTACACACATTTGTTATAATTAGCCTGTATATGGTGCGGTGTGTCCTCAGGACTTTTCCAGCATTTAGTATAAGCCTGACTTCATTGCTTGCAGTCATAGTTTGCAATAACTTATTCGGCTGGTATATTTCTGATTGTGATATCTCATCAGTGGCAATCAGTGAAGGGCCTATGCTATCAAAGAGCAGCCAGTTCCCCTGTGATGAATTGCCATTTTGTCACACTGTATACAATTTTAATGTGTATATTTGGCATGCACAAAGAGAAAACAGGAACTTCGCAAATGCTGCCTGGTATATATTAATTTTAAGAGTTCCATTGAATTCATGGATTTTGGAAAAATAGTCATTACTAAATATTTTTGATGTTTTTCTTTTTCAAACCTTAAGTGGTTTGGGGTATAGGTCTTTCTAGATCTCACGTGTTTAAGTTTTGCTCTTAATATTGCTGTTAATATTTCTTTTATCACATGACCATTGAGTCTATTGTCAGGCTTCTTCCTGGCAAGCTGGACGGATCTGATTTGTTGTATGAAACCTAAGAAGCCACTACAAAAACATTTCAACAACTCTGCTTATCAAATATGCAATTAAGGTTCAGATTATTGTACTTTTCTCCTACTCACTCTGTGTAAAGGGCTAGAAGCAACTCTCTTTTGATTGAGGGGAGGATAGTTGCCATCTCTTCCTTGTTTCAGTAATGGCCAAATCTGGTATCAAGCTGTTTGGTTTTGTCTGTATGAGAACTAGCTTCCACATCAGTTAGTCTTAGTTTCTTGCATCCCATCTTACAATGCATACGTTCTGCATCCTTATTGGGTACAAAACTCCCAGTTGGAGAACTAAACTCTAGCTCTGGGCCCAAGAAAAATTACCTTCAGTATCTTTTGCCACTTTCATGTTTTCCCCTTCTCTGGTCTCAGTGCCCAGAAGAACCCTGCCTATTTAATCTATTTTACCTCCTTTGTAACTTTCATTCTTCCAGTCCTTGTCCATGTTACTTCTCAGCATACAGTATCTTGGTCTTTGCAGGCATGGGGAGAAAGAAAGAAAAAAAAATCATAATAGGGAAGTATGAAAAGAAGGCACTTCATGGAGGAAGAGAAGTTGCATCTTATAAGGAGAAATATGACCATGATTTACACCAAATAGTGAGTTTTGAGATAAAGAATGTTGATCAGAAGACCAAAGGCATCACTTTTGTTTGAAACTGTGTCCAAGAAGCCCACAGCCTTCCTCAGTGCAGTATTATCTATTACCTATTACTATTCCCATGTTTGTCTGTCTGTCTGTCTGTCTGTCTGTCTGTCTGTCTGTCTGTCTGTCTGTCTGTCTATCTATCTATCTATCTATCTATCTATCTATCTATCTCATTCAAGGTGGCAAACATATCTGATACTCCTACCTCCTGTTTTTTTCCCCCACAACAACAACCCTGTGAGATAGGTTGGGCTGAGAGGGAGTGACTGGCCCAAAGTCACCCGGCTGGCTTTCATCCCTAAGGGAGGGCTAATACTCAGAGTCTCCTGGTTTCTAGGCTGGTACCTTCTAATGGTTATTATGCCTCTAAAGTGAAGAGATGCAACCAACCATTTCTTCCCTAGAGTCCCTGTTCTTAAAAGGCAAAAAACATAGAATGAGACTATTCTACAGACCATAGTACAGGTAGTCCCCAGTTTAAGAATGAGTTCCGTTCCCAAGGTCTGTCCTTAAGTTGAATTTGTATGTAAGCCGGAACAGTATTATTCTATGATACTGTATAAGTAGTATTGTATAATGAACTGAACCATTGTGTATTTAACTCAAATCATTGTGTATTTAACTCAAATTTTGCTACAATAGGTTCCCAAGGTCTGTCCTTAAGTTGAATTTGTATGTAAGCCGGAACAGTATTATTCTATGATACTGTATAAGTAGTATTGTATAATGAACTGAACCATTGTGTATTTAACTCAAATCATTGTGTATTTAACTCAAATTTTGCTACAATAGGTTCTGTTAACTATGGGTCATCCTTAAACAAGGTGTTCTTAACCCGGGGACTACCTGTACACATGTTCATTCCAGAGTGGTGCCTGTTTAAATTCCTCACAGCTTCACTGGCTGTAGCTGGCTTGTTTTGAAATATGAAGTATTGACTGACTTTTGATTTTCATTAGAGCAATATTTGACTGCAGAATTTCCTGCTAAGTATAGATTTTGCCACCCCGCCTGTCTACATCATGGTGATCATTTTGCTTCTTACCTAGTTGTCTACACATATACTTTGTCTAAACTGCTTGTCACCTCTACATATAGTACCAGTCAAATTTCCAAAATTCTCCTTAATACCCATAGGATTTTCCCCTGTCTGAAACATGATTAATTTCTTATGAGTACTAAGAAAGTTTAAAGTAAATCATTCAATGTTATTATAGCAATACAGGTAGTCCTCATTTAACAATGCTAATTGGGACCAGAAACTGTCGTTAAGCAATACATTCATAAGTCGAAAAAGCAGGTGACTGTCCCACTTAGTGACAACAGTTCCAGCAGTCCTAGTTGCTGTCATTAAATGAGGACTTCCTGCCAGCTTCCCCATTGACTTTGCTTGTGGGAAGCCAGCAGGAAAGGTTGCAAATCATGACAACGGGATGCTGCGATGGCCGTAAGTACGAGATCCAGTCTTAACTACCACTCATTCAGCACCATTAGAAGTCTGAACAGTCACTGAACAAGTGGTTGTTAAACGAGGACCACCTGTATACTGAGAATGCCTAATACTTCTTTTCTAATGGATTTTATTGCAAACAGCCCCCGTGTGCTTGTTTCTTTAGTCAAATAACTAAAATAAACATTCCCTTCATCTCTGAAGAAGTAGAAGAAATTTGAGGACTTTAAGTTATGAAGTATCTGCTTTGAGATGCTGAAACAAATCTGAAAAGATTACTGATTTGGGATAGCAGTAATATATAATACTGAAGCTGCTAACAGCCATAATTCAGCTCAGGCACAGAAGAGGGAATCACTCTGTGTGTGCATATGGGTGTGTATTTCTTTATCCTTTTTTATTTAATATAATTGTTCCCATAAGTGGAACTGAAGTGGTGGGATACATCTGATACATTTTTAAATGAATAATTGAAGTAATAAGTAGATATGAAGAACAATGTCTGTTTTAATGCCACAGTTCAAATCTAATGATTAAAACAACTTGCCCAGAATATAATGCTTCTGCTGGAACCCATAGGAAGTCTTTTCATGGAGGCAGGTGACCTGAGACAAAAATTCACCATCAGTGAAGAGCCAGTAGTTTAAAAAACTTCACTCATTACATTGTTTATAGCAAGCATGTAATCTTATTAGTATTTACATCACTAGAATTGCATGTGAAACACAACTCATGCTTGGATTTGCTTTTAATATAGTAAGAAATTGAGGAGAATTGGTTTTGAAGTCTATGCAAGAGATAGCAAAGATAGTGCTGAAATTATTGTCTCCTTTATGTAGAAAAATCTGGTAGCTCTGTGGCCTAAGATAGGGAGACATGACTTTTAGAAAGTCAGCTGTAAAATAAGGTTCAGGGTCTTAGTAATGAACAGACTCCACAAAAGAAAAGGGTGTGACTAGCTATATTGCTCCCATGTTTAGCACATTGTGCTAACTTTTCATTCTCTAAAATGAAGTCCTTTACTTTTATTTTTTCTTCCCATTATGTACTATGAAAGAATAATATAATCCTGACCCAGGAGAATCAATGGGATAGTTATGTGAACTTAAGGAAGGTCTAGTTTATGTTCTTTATATCATATGGTTAATGGAGATATGAAGAGTTACTTTCTTGCTTGATTTAATACACTATTCTTTCCTGTTACAAATCGTCACTTCAAATAGCCGTGTCCAAGAAAGAAAGAAGTAGGAAGAATAACATTTGTTTACCAACATATATCCTATGCAGGTACTAACTTCAACTAAATCATAGGGAATGCTAGATTAAGAGCAGCCGAGAATATGATTTACAGCGCTCTGTCTACTGTATTTAAATCTGAATGGGTTTAATCTAAAATAATTTACCTTCAACAAAAGTCAGGTATTATTATAGGTCACATCCCTTTGCTGGGCTGCCCTCCCACCCTGAAAAAAAGGAGCAATAAGTAGGCTGTCTCTTTTTCCATCTGAGGACATTTATTGTATTCCAGGCATTGAACTGATCTGTGAAAAGGACATCGATCTAGCAATCCAAGTGCAAGAGCTGCTGGAATTTCTTCATGAGAAACAGCACGAGTTGGAGCTCAACGCTGATCAGACGCACAAGCGGCTAGAGCAGTGCCTTCAGCTTCGGCACCTGCAGGCAGAGGTTAAGCAGGTCAGGGTTTTCACCATTGTTCTGCTTGTTGGCTCATATGATTAACCTGGCTGGTAAAACTGCCTGTCTCTACCATTCAAAACCCGGCAGCCTCTAAAAATTCACTTCTGTAATAGTACAGGTAGTCCTTGTTTAGCCAGCACAATTACTTCTGGTGAAATGGTCGCTAAGCGAACCACATGACTAAGAGACAGAGACAGAGAGAGAGGTGCTATAGAGATAACTGGTCACTGCTGCCTCATTTAGATAAAATTCTCTCATGCAGCAACACAGCGTTACTCTCACTCCGGCATGTGTTGTTGTCAGGTGCAGAAATTTGGGCATAAGTGTTGCATTGGTCGGAAAATTATTTTTTTACCACTGTTTATTACCGCTGTATTTGTGAATGGTCACTATCCAAGGCAGTTGATAAATGAGGACTACCTGTACTTATATTGTCAATGGTCTCAGAATATATGGAAGAGTACCAAAATTTCCATTAGGTAAAAGGTGCTTAAATATAACTGAACATTGTGGTCAGACCCAAATGGGATCAAATTTGCAGCAAAATGTGTTTACACTTTACACACATCTTGGAAAACAATGAGGGAGTAAGGGCAATTTAAAGCACTGTCTCAAAATGTGTGTATTCATGGCTCAAAATCACAAGTGTTTACAATTTGCTCTGGTTTAATTATATTATATTTATATGGAGATCAATCCTATTTAACATATTACAAATTTATTCTCTTTACCTCTTCTGTATTTCATGAAATCTGAACATTGAAATAAAAAGAGTTGCAAGAGAGAAATTATAGTTACATAATCCTTGAAGCAAAATATGCCATTAACATTCCTTTTCTTTAAAAGCACATTCTGCTGAATTTTGTCCTTATTACAATATATCAGTAAGTTCTTCTGTATAAGGACAATAATGCTATGTGTCAATAATACTGATGATAAAATTAAGAAAATTAGGGAGGGATGGAACTTTGGTGGCAAAAGGATTTTTAATAAATATTTTAGACAGCTATATGGAGGATAGAGCTATCTGTCTTTAGATTTGATCTAAGAGTGAATGTCTATCTTATTTATTTTATTATGTATTAAAAGTATTCATATGCTGCTTTTTTATGTAAAGCATCCTAACATGTTAAAAACAGGATAAAAACAGGATTAAAAACGGAAAATCAATATTAGAGTGTTAACAGCTGCAGAAAGCCAGCATTTAAAAATGCCTAAAATATATCAGGACTTGTCATATCTCAGAGAAGAGATCATTCTGCCCAACAGATACAACAGAAGAAGACTGCATCATTTGTCTTCTGCAAGTCACAGGACAGCAAGTTGAAACTTCCACTGAAGACTTCAGATGTCTAAGAAATTGATGTAATTGAAGACACTTTTATAGATAACCTGGTTATAAGTGATTTAGGGCTACACTGACCAATAGCAATATGCTGAACATGGCCTAGTAACAGACTAGTGGGATATATGAGCAGAAAGGCATCCAAGTCAGTACCCTTGCTGTTGCATTCTGTATTAGCTATAGCCTCCTGGCAAATCTCCCAAATGGACTAAGAGCATCATAGTAACCATATTTCTTGAGATTTTTTTATGCATCAATCAATATGGCCAGGCTATCTCTATTCTGGAATAGGCACAGCTTTGCCTAGGTATAGAAGTCACCTGGGCCTCCTGCAATAGTGGTGGGTCCAGAAGCACTCCTGGACTATGGGCTTGTACGTTTTGGAGGCAATCTCACAATCTTTCATTTAAAAAAAAAATCAAATCAGTCCTGTTTTTCATTTCTTGTGTACCATGTATTCACATGAATAAAGTGATACTTAAGCTACGTACATATTCAAAACTAACAGATGTAAGAATGAAAAAAAAATCCCCAAACTATCATCATTGTCATTCATTTTAGGGTCTAGTATGGATATGTTCTCTTTCTCTTTTGAACAAAGCCACTGATTTGGATCAAGAACTGAGAAAAATGTTTGGTGGGAGTGGAGTGTGCATGTAAATGTTAATAATACTTGTGTTCAGTGATATACAAGTCTGGAACATTTTGTTACTTATAAAAATCTGTGAGACTATGCAAGAAGCTGGAAGAAATCATACTGGTTTCTATGGAACAGAAAACATTTATTTGATTTGCATGAAGCATAGACCAACGAAACACTAATGTAAAAATATCTAAGGTTTAATTCCTGCATTATTACTGACCCATGGGACAATAATTCTATTTTTTTTTAAATCTTGTGAGATGACTTGAATATTTCATGTTGAGACAGGAACATGAAAAATAAATTAACAAAAAAAATGTTTGTGTATATGATTGTACTGACTGCTTGTTTAGGCCAAGAGAATGGTGAATTTGAAATACCAAGAATATTGGACTGGAATATATGCAAAATTCAGAATATGGAAGTAAAGAGACCTTGATTGCTTCATCATTTGCTCAATTTACATTTAGCTGCTGCAGCTGAGCAACCTATCTGCTTCACAATCCCATTCAACCACTTTCATCAATGTAAGAGTATGATTATACCCTCAAGGGCTATAAATATTGGAATACGGTGTGAGGGCTCTGAAAATGAATTCTTTACTCTTAAAAATGAGTTTCAAGCTATCACATAAAGATAGAAAGTTTTTAAAGATTTTAAAGATTATGACAAATCCCTCATTCATTCAGAGCTCAAAATGATCAATCAGGCTTAGTGCTGAAAATATTTGTAGAACCCAATCCTCTTTTTTACCTGCTCTTATTGCCACATAGTTATAGAACTTGCCATGACATATCATGATTTAAAAAATAGCTCACTGGAAGCAAAGAGAAAGATGGAATCAAAGGGAAAGAAATATCTCTCAAAAATAAATTGGCAACCACTGATATTGTTTTGTACTATGATACATGGTGATATGATATGATCAATATATGATCCCTGCTAAAAATAATATGAACTAACTGAAGTTTCCAGTCTTCAAGATAATCTCCAAGGAATTACTGCTTATGATTCAATCATTATATGACTCTTATGGAAATACATCATTCTTCCTTAAATTTATAACTAATTTTTTAAAGTTTCCTTTTTAAATGTTCTGATTTCATTTTTACATTCATTTAAGAATGCACTCTCTCATTCTCTATGTCTCTGCATATTTTTATCTCTAATGTTCTTTTCGTTTTTAAAGAATATCTTTGTAATAGCTGCTCAATAAATATTGTATTTTTATATTAATTTAATTATACCGTACCAACACCAAAAGAGCAGATCAAGTGGCTGTTGGTTTAGAAGTGAACATTCAAACCTAGTTCAAGAGAGACTGTGACAACTGTGATTCATTAATTTCTTTAAAAGTATTTGTGAACTTTCTTCATTCAGATGCCTTTCAGGAACCCCATGGCAAGATTTTATTTGTTCAGATTAATACTTTAAAAGTCAATTGCTTATTAACATGTGAATTATTGCAGCTATAGCTTTCCTTGGAATTAGCTGAATTTAAATATATCATGGCCCTGTCATAATGTGGCGGGTATTGGCTAAATTTGGCTTCCCAAAGAATGAGTCATAAGTAACATCACTTAGTGAAATTGGAATCTGTATTGATTTTGGCTTGTTATTCATTTTCAGTCTGGATCCAAGTGGGCTTCACTTTCACTTTGGATCAGTTGAGACAACAAATGGTCTTAAATTCATTACCAAATAGCTCTTGCTCTTAGAAGCCAAGGAAAAGTAGACTGCAACCAAACAGCCCATGGTGCTAACCCTACTTAACTTTTGCTGATGCGGTACAAAGTCTGGAGAATTCTAAAATGCCAACATGTGGTTGCACTTTAGCACAATGGAAACTCTAAATTGTTGTTTTCCCCCTACTCTCATTTAATAAAGGTTTCTGTTTTCAGCTATGTAGTCTATAAACTCCAATGCCAAGACAGTAAATTTAACATTAGAAAAGACATCCCAAATCTTCTTTAGAATATCACAAGATGGATGGTTGATTTTTCACAGTTCTTTATGCCAAGAGAAAGAAAAGAATTATTGTGGATACTGGCAAAATAACAGCAAAGGTTAGAATGCTTGTAAATATTTGCAGGATATAAATACTTACAAGGGTTACTTAGTGAATTTGAGGCAGAAACATCCTTGATAATGTCAGCTGAGGGGAGGTTTTGATGAGGTCCACTGATGCAAGGAAAGAAATGCAGGGGTCAGAGCATGTATGTTGGGAGAGTTAAGGGCAGGCAATAACAACTTGATGGTGATAGGCAGGGGGAGTTATGACAAGAACCAAGGAGCCTCCCATTCTCACTGTTTAGTATTGATTTCATGCTCCAGCCTCCTGGACTGTTTGTCTTAGGTCGCCCTGGTCTCCCACTGCTGCTACTTAATTCCAGCTCAGCTTGTAATAAGGCCTTCCTCATTCATGATTAAATATGAGAATGTATTACTGGGGTGTATTACTGAAACCTGGCTACATAGTGGAGGGAGGGGTGACATTCCTGGAAATGGGTCTACCTGGATTTTGGGTGTGTCATCAGCTGCCACCTGGGAAGGAACTTTGAACATCTGGGAAACTCTTGTGACTTTCAGGGATGTTGCTCTGCAAATTACTGGATGTGAGACCCCATTCATCAAGTTGGGCTCTAGAGATCAGATGGGACTGCTGTTATTGTAAGCCACCCTGTGCATAGCTGCCTCCATACTTGAGCTGCTGGATGCCATGGTCAGACTGGCGGTGGAGTTCCCCAGGCTTATGATGTTAGAGAATTTCAACCTGCCTTCTCTAGGTGCAGAATTGGAAGCAGCTCAGGAGTTCATGGCCACCATAGAAACTACAGATCTGATGAATGTCATCAAGGGCCTAATGCATAGGGACTCACTCACCAGATCTGAGTTATATCTTGCGCAGTGGCAGCATGATCTAGAATTGCAGGTATTACTGTTGGAAGTGACAGATCACTTCCTGTTATCCTTAGAGTTTTCCCCTCCTCACCACCTCAGGGAGGATAGACCTGTTTGATTGGCCTGGCCCAGGTGTTTGATGGATCCAGTTGGGTTTCAGAGGGAGCTTGTAGTTGTCACTGAAATCCTAGTGCATGGTTCAACTGAAGCCATAGTTGCTGCTTGGAAGAGCAAGCAATTATGGCCTTAGATGGAATATGTCTGTGCAGACTCTTGCTGCTTGTGAATCCCAGAGAAACCCCCTGCTTTTTGGAGGAGCTCTGGGAGATGAAGTGGCAAAAAAGATACCTAGATGTAAAATGAAAAGTTGACTGAACATGGGTAAGAGCCTTTGTTAGGCATTACTGTGTAGCAATAACAATGGTAAAATGTAAATATTTCTCTGCTCTTTCTGCATCCACAGATGGATTTTGGATGAGTATCAAATAAAGGTTGAATCTTTTTGTGAAACAATTAATCGGTGTCTACAAACTTGAAACAAGAAAGAAAAAGAAAGTTGATGCTTTGAAATAGTGGAATCTTGTTTCCAGCTATCTCAAATAATTCAAGGAGCTGCAGACAAATGTATCTGGAAAATGGGAATAATTTTCAGAAACAAGTTGCATGAAACAATGGATAACATTGCTAAGTCAGGTGCATTTGACTCCGTTAGGTAACATACAATTGGGGACCTTGTTAAGTAAATTAAAGTAGATGCAAATCATATATATTTCTATTTACTCTTGGAGCCAATATACTCAGTAAAATTGCTTAGTGTTCATGTTAAAGATATTTAATCAAAGATTATTTCTGCTTTATTTACAGTGTTTCATATATGAGTTTTGTTCCTTTGTAACAGGGAGCATCAAATTCATATTATCTCTTATTGGATTAGATCCAGAGTAATCAAATCAAATCTTTGTTATGGTCATAGACCAGCATGGAGATCCAGAATAAGTTAGTCATACTTAGACCACATCAAAAGCAGGCCATTTTATTTAATTGATTAATTTTTCAGACTAATTCTAATGAAAACTAAAATGCATCATCTGATCCACAGTAACTATTATCGAATAAGGTCAAGTGGTGAAAAAGGCCTATATCTGAAGCTTGAAGAACATGATTTCTCTATCCAGAGAAATCAGCTTCGTTATCCACCACATGTCCAATTTGTCTGGACATTGTCTTACCTTGTTCACCCTCATCTACCCCAAAACCAGTTCCAGATACAGATTCAAGAGTTCTACAGCCTTCCTGATAAAGTAGATTGAGATAAGAGTTGGATTTGTGTAACATCTGCATGCTGGTGACGCTGCAATCCACAGTGCAGTCCACTCCAGCAATTTCATGAAGAAAGTTAAAAAGTTGTATTTCAAAATGTCTGTCTTATTTTTCCTGCCAGGTCCTTGGCTGGATCCGTAATGGAGAATCAATGCTCAATGCCAGTCTTGTCAATGCAAGTTCCTTGTCAGAAGCTGAGCAGCTCCAGAGAGAGCATGAGCAGTTTCAGCTGGCCATAGAGGTAATGTTTACTGTGCACGTTGGCTTTCCCTTTCCCTGTACAAACTGCAAAGATGAGGCTGGCTGATCTGAAAATAGTCTGAATGGTGTTCAGAGTAGGAGAGTAGCATGGAAGATATAACGTCCAATTAACAGTTAAACTTTCCTGTTCCTAAAATTAATGTGTGTGTATGTGTATGTGAGGTAGTCCTTGTTTAGCAAACCCAGTTGGGACTGGCAATTTGGTCATTAAGTGAAATGATTGCTAAGTGAAACCACAGCTGTGCTTATGATCTTACTACAGCTTTCCTTTGTTTTACAGACCTGCGAAGGTCGTAAATGCAAGGATTGGTCGCAAAGTTACTTTTTCATCACTGTCATAACTGCAAACAGTCACTGTATGAGGCAGTTGCTAAATGAGGTCTACCCATATATGTGAAAATGAGTCATGTTTTCATATATATACATATGAAAACATAACTCATTTTCCACATCAAAAGGTAATAGTGGAAGGGCAGAAAGGATCATAATTATATTTTGCCATATGGTTGCAGCCAAAATATCCAGCTGTAAGTGGAATTCACATGTATACCTTGAGAGCAAGGCAGGTTTTGATCTATGACCATGGTACATTTTTTTGGACTCACATAATTTACAATAGGTGCTGGCTATAAAGTAAGCTTTTGTATTTTACTATGTTATAGCAAATCATATCAATTTAATATTGATTTCAATATAACACTTTTTGGTATGGGCTGTTAAACTTATTTTCTTTTCATTTTCAAACAATATAAGCAAGCAATAGTGTTATATACCAAAGTATACACAGAGAAAATATATTCAGTCCAAGCTATTGGATTCCATGGTGTCAGATGGGCAAGTAATAAGCAGAGGAGGCCAAGGCACAAAATAATGTGAGAGAAAATAGAGATCGGGGCATTCAGTCTAATAGTGGTTTTTCATCAGGATATGTTGCTTTGACTGAGTCAATTGTCTAGAGTTTGTAACTCTCACTTGGTAGCATGTCTGAATAATCCATTTCTATTTTTTAGTTTCTTTGGTAGAAAGAATGGTGCAGAAAGCAAGATTTAGGAAATAGTCTGTTGAGGTATGCAGTTTGAAATCCACTGCATCTTATATCCCCTATACCAGGGTTCCTCAACATCAGCAACTTTAAGATGGGTGGACTTCAACTCTCAGAATTCCATGGCTGGCTGGGGAATTCTGGGAGTTGAAGTCCACCCATCTTAAAGTTGCTGAAGTTGAGGAACCCTGCCCTATACAGTTGAGCTCTGGATGCTGCAGCTGTTCAGGTGGCCGGGTAGTGTGAATGATGATGTCATCGATCACACACAGCACTGCTTTCTCTCTGCTGCTGTCGTGCCTCCTGGCCATGTTTTGTTATCACTTTCCCAACCTTGCCTCTGCCACTTCCTCCCTGCCCCCCCAAACCAGTCCAAATATATGAGCCCTAAGGCATTAGGATTCTTATGCCTACAAGGCTTCCTTCAGAGAGACCACTGGGGGAGTTCCTACTAAGTAGCGTGACAGTGAATTCAAACTGTTTTGATCTTCAAATGGTCTGATAATGGTCAAGTTAAAAGGCATCTGTTCCGACCAATCTGGAAAGGTTCTGAGCTTCAAACAGCTCATCTGAAAGTGAGAGTTTTGTTGAGCTTGAGACCCTTCTAAAATGGTTGAAATAGTGTTGGGACATTGCTGGTAAAGTTGGAGTGTAATCCATTTCAAGCTCTTGATAACTGTTTTAAGCACATGTTTTGATGTAGAAATACCTTACACACCATTAACCTTCCTGCCCCAGATTAAATAAATAAATAAATATCTCACTGGCATTCTCCAGTCAAGATGTATAATCTGATGCAATCAAGACAAATACTTTTTTTTTAAAATGTACTCAATATATGAATATTATTCGCAAAACAGCAAAGGTTATAGTAGTCCACATACAAATTAATACCAGAAAATTTACCTCTAGGGAGGTAAATAAAAGGAAAGGATTGCCCTTGTTGACATTTAATTTTGGATCTCAAAATGATCTTAATCTCCTTCATTGCACTCCAGTTGTATCTTTTTGTTCTGGATATTTATTTTTCTGAGGATCCTCAGTATATTTAAGTCCCAGTGTTTATTTCATCACTTCTTCAGATGAGAGATATAGTTCAATTTCTGGTATTTTATAATACTCTATTAGGAAAAAGAAGAAGTTAGCTTTTCTGGAAGCAGCTGCAGTTCATTTATTTCCTAACTGTCCCATGACACCTTCAAGGAGCTTAGGGTAATATGGATGGCAGACTTTCCTTTTTCATCTTCACAATAGCCAGATGAGGTAGGTCAGTCAGGAGACAGTGATTGGCCCAAGATCATGGGGGAGCTTTGTGGGTTAAGCTGGGTCACTTCAATTCTAATTTGATAAGCCATTGAACACATATATATATATATTAGATGAGCAGATGAGTTACTTGTATCACAAAGTTAGTGTACTTATGTGTTTTAGGAATAACAGCTGATATTTTCATCATATTTTACTTCCTGTAAATATTTTTTCCAAGTGTTTGCTTAGGGATTAAGTTGTGGATACTTAGAGATTGCTTAGGGATCGATTTTGTTATAGGGAATTCACAACTGCTTTTAGAGTCACTTGTGAAAATTGCCTAAATACAATAACAGAAAGTGGTTACTTTTCTCTGTATTGATATTCCCAGAAATCCCCTTATCCAATATTTTAACATGTAGTCACTTTTTTACAGATTTTGTCATGCTGGCAAGCCCTAAAAGGAAGGGGAGGGTTTATCATCCATTGAGGAAATTCTTTATCATTCAGTACATCTTGGCAGCATTAATGAAGCACTTCTTGGACCAAGATATTTATTTTCTGTTTGCGTAGCTTGCTATACTTCAGAGATGCTTATTCTTGATAGAAGAAAGAATAAAAAAGAGCCACTCCTCCCCTAGTGCAATGTGGTTATTCATGCTGCCAAGAGGAGAGAAGTTCAGAGTGGGTTACTAAATTAAATATTAAAGATCAGGTGCTTGATATCTCAGCATGTTACTTATCTACAAAGTGGAGACGGTCTAGTTGGTATATTGGGTATTTTCTTTGCAAATCCTTTCATCTCTCTCTCTTTTAAACCCTTCTGTTTAACTGGGTTGCAAATAAAACCAACTGATGGTCTTTAAGCATTTTCAAAAAAATCTCATCTAGCAATTTTTGTAGTGGCAGGACTGCTTTCAGTATACAAGTAGTCCCAGGGTTAAGAATGCCCAGATTACAGACAACCCATAGTTAAGAATGGAGCCTATTGTAGCAAAATTTGAGTTAAATACACA